TGGATTTCTTGTTTGTTTCACAGTTACTGTGATTGTGTATTATCTATCAGAAGCAGTTTAATGGTAAAATTCAAGTAGGATTACAAATGTTAGAATATGTCTTAATTTCTATATCCTAGTTGTTTGTGTTTATTTTCACGCATAGGTAACTGGATAATTTTTCCGCTTTGAAATTATAAGCTTGTTGTGCAAGCGTTATATGAACGTTATGTAGCTTTACACAAACTATAATGTAAAATACATAATATATAATGAAACGGTAAATTAATTATAACTATTGCATTTGCTTCTGGTTAAAATGATACGGGGTTTTCTTCTAGAAGTTTAAAAACTTATGTTAAATAACTTCCAAATATAAGCAGCCTTTCATTGACACTGACGCCTATCTAGTGGAATAAATTTAGCTTAATATCGAATATCGAAATTGCTTTTCAAAACCATACGTAAAATCTTGTTAAATTCGAAGAAAGTGCCACAAATAAACCATTTTGTCTTATCTTAATGATCAACGCACTGTCGCTATGAATTCAAATTCGAGATGCAGATAAAAATCAGTTTTAAAATAGCACCATTTTCAGTTATACACATGTGTATTTCCTAAACTGTAAAAAAATAGAATGAAATTTTGTTTTGTACGTCACTTTAATTATTACTAGCTGACAGTAGTAATTGCATATTAATTAAATATTATTTACTAACTAGACAAATTTTCCTATAATTATTGGAATTATTTAAATATTCTTTGTATTGCTCGTTTTCCAGATCTCATAAGTACCCCTTTTCTTTAGAGAGCCACAGAATGCATTTATATTAAAAATGCCATCATAACTTGGAAAGTTTCATCGAATTATCATCAACAGTAAGGTAAGGATCTTTTTAAATCCTATACCTTTTAAGGTGATCATTTTTCACTGTTAAAATATTATTTATTAAAACATCAATACATGATACCTACTTTGATTCTTTGTTATCATAATTAAACCTAATTACTTCAATGTACTTAATTGTATTCAATCATTCATTTGCACAATCTGCCTATCAGTGGTCGAATGGATGAGACTACTAACGCTAGTGATTCTAGCCAGGTTCAATTTCTGATATATGGGCTGCCTGTACGGGTATTTTTCTGGTTTTTCTCCATCTGTAACGTAAATAAAACTCAGTTCCAAAGTTCTCCAGCGCATATAATCTTTAAAGTTTCGAGCCAGAAAGTTCACTACCGCTAAAGACCTCTACGAAAACATTCTCCTTTCAGGAAGATAGTACATGTGCTTTGTCATAACAAAATAATCCAAATCACTGCATTCTATTTAGCTATAACTCATTCAAAAATTAGTGAAACTTGATACATAAGAACAGCAGGGTGGACCCGAAATAAGAAACCTCTGTTCAATATACGTGTTAATAAATATTACAATAAGATATTTAATGGATAATTGCTTGCTATCTACATCGCTTTACATAAATTTTGAAGTTTAAACTAAATCTGAAATTTCCAAAATGGAAAACAACTAAAAAGAGCTTTTCCACTTACGTAAGTTATTTCCACTTTACTGGAATTGTTTTACTGGTTTGTTATTTTATCTCATTCCTGTAATCTTATGGGAAATTTCAAGCAATCAAAAAAAAAAAAAATTGACTGCCATTGATCTTCTTTGCCGGTAAAGAATTTGTTCTAATTGACGCATTCTATGGTTGGTTTCCTAAGTAAACAGTGTCCGAGAGGGAGCTACTGACCACCGTCCAATTCTTCGGCGTTCATCCCATGAGAAGAGTCTTCTCTTTCGCTTCGCTAACTAGGTGCCAAGCGTTCATTTACTCTTTTAATTTGTCACATGAACTAGTTTACGTTAAAGACAGAACTGAATTCTTTTCGGGAAAAAGAAAGAGAAAACGTTAATCTTTTACTGTACCATTTACAATTCTTGTATTTGTTTGCAACTAAGAAATAAATGTTTAGATTTCTTTGAAGTGAAAACTTGTGTTTAAATAGAAATAATTCAGTTATATCAAGTTTTAATTTTGCAATGATCTCTGCTAAAAAACAGCATAAAATCGTACTTCCAATGCGGCAGGAACTTATTAAAAATATTAGATGACAAGAAATTGATTGGTAACCACTTTTTCTAAGTTATCAGTCGAATGCATTCAAAAAGATGAATTTCTATTTAAAACGATCTTACTCCATTTCAAGTAATACTTACTTGAACATGTGGTTTTTAACCAATGATTGTCCGAATCATGTTTTATGGATACGTTGGCCCACGAATTGTTGTTATGACCATTCCACTTTATCTTTCGATTCGTGCAGGAGAGAAGCGGAGGTATTTAACTGAAGCACAATCATGTCTCACAAACCACCGATTGGGAAAAGATGAGACGGTTGAGCTATCAAAGGTAGCACCTGGACCTCTTGCAGTGCATTCAGGGTGAGATAAGGCATATATAGCAGGGTATAATTTTATATACATATAGGCTGCAGAGTGCCATCAGTATATTAAGAGTTCCGTTAATCTGCACAGAATAGGCACTGTAAATGAACGGCTGTTATTACTAAATGGAATGTCAAATCATTATATCACATTGGAAGGCTATGCTATTTAAAAATGTAGGAGCATCTGCTCGGTGGCATGTAGGTTATACATTCTCAGATACTGAGTAATATTTGTGGTACCAAACTCGAGATGCACCGCAAAACTGCATTATTTCCTTTTACCACTCCACGCAGCTATGCTGGATCACCATCGCAAACATTCCCGACTATGATTCTATGTCAATAGAAGCTTTAATAAAGGGCGAATAAACACAAACCTGCATTAGCGAATAGTTGTAAAACTATCCATGTCATTCATACTGGTGAAGTGGGAATAATCTGCATACTTGACAAAATACGTCTAGTTGCGAACCGTGAGTCAGATATGGTATGACGTTGGACATTATGTGCAGCAATTAGTGTGCTCTGAAGTTTGTCTCCTTGCCTTGGACCACTACAGCGCTATACATTTCCTCCCTATCTCCAGTTTTCGTCAAATACGACCAATAGCTTTTGAATCAACACTTTCTTCTGCATTACCTGACTTCTACGGGATGAGAATTTATGCGAGGTAGAAGAAAATCTGGTTAATTTTAAATGTATATGTAAATTCTCATCCCGTAGAAGTCAGGTAATGCAGTTTTGTGGAAATAATGCAGTTTTGCGGTGCATCTCGAGTTTGGTACCACAAATATATTACTCACTATCTGAGAATGTATAACCTACATGCCACCGAGAAGATGCTCCTACATTTTTAAATAGCATAGCCTTCCAATGTGATATAATGATTTGACATTCCATTTAGTAATAACAGCCGTTCATTTACAGTGCCTATTCTGTGCAGATTAACGGAACTCTTAATATACTGATGGCACTCTGCAGCCTATATGTATATAAAATTATACCCTGCTATATATGCCTTATCTCACCCTTGAATGCACTGCAAGAGGTCCAGGTGCTACCTTTGATAGCTCAACCGTCTCATCTTTTCCCAATCGGTGGTTTGTGAGACATGATTGTGCTTCAGTTAAATACCTCCGCTTCTCTCCTGCACGAATCGAAGATAAAGTGGAATGGTCATAACAACAATTCGTGGGCCAACGTATCCATAAGAATCAACAGGAAATGGTGGCTTGCTGCTGTCCAAGTGGATAAGATCACTGAAAATTGAGCTTGCAAATATCTTAACAAACGGATTGTACGCATAAGGTTTCAGTGTTTTCCCCATGTGTAATGGAAATACGAGACGGTTTACCCAAGACTAGTCTTGTAAGAAAGCGTTCCTCCGCTTGGGCAGATTCCTCATACAATTTGCCTTAATTAATTGAGTGATAACGTAAATGTGATAAAGCTTTTAGTAATGATCTCTTCATGATCAACTCTTAATGTTTTATAAGATGCAAAAAAAATGACAAAATTTTTTATTTGTATGGAAACATAATTAGGAAACGCTATTTCCTTAGGAAAGAGTATTATTTAACCTTTTATCATTCGTATAAACTGTTGAAGTTATTTCCTTGAATGGAGAATTGGACGTACGTAAAAAGTAGGTTAAATTTGCTTTGGAAAAAAATTTCTAAGCTCCCCTTGAAAATTCCTGGTTGAATCCCAAAGAATTCCGTTCAGCACATCACAAGATATTGAAAGGGTAGAAAAGGAACAATCGATATAGAAAGTTTACGCCGCTCTGCGGAGTATTTTTGCTTTTACTTTGCTCTTCCTGTTGTTGTTTTGTTTACCTGTTTTCTAGCGCCACATTTGGCTACTTATCGCCACATTCCGCTGAAAAATTTGTTGTAGATTTGATTGGGCGCCTGAAGTCATTTTTGCTGTTCGAAATAATGAGAAACGTGTTGTGATTGTTTATTCGTCATTCATTTTTCAGTGGAATAATTTCTCATTTCTAATAAAACTATATTTTACTTTTAACACTGCAACTTAGTAAAATGTTAGAGTAGCGTATATCACAAAAACTGAATTTTATAAATTATTTGGAAAAGATTTTATATAATTCCCAAATATACTATTTGTTTTTGCTACTTGATTCATACAAGATTGCAGTAGATTTTACATATTGCTTTGCTTCGTATTCTTTATGAAATATAGTGTTCAGGTCATTAAAAGAAACGATAAATTACATATAACCAAATTAACTACTATTAAACATGCGGCCTGCATGAAAGCAGCTTCATTATTTAAAAATTTGAGAAGAAGACTATCTCAAATCTAGAAGTTTTGAGACAAATAGAAAAGTGTGCTTTCCTTTCAGTTATATATCAACAAAGTGTATCGATTATGATACGTATAAAGTGTTGAGAAATGCATAAATATATATATATTATCAAAGTTCTTATGTATATATTCACTGTTTGAGTAATATAAAGAATCTTAATATGCATATTATTCCTGAGTGGCAGAGGTTTTTCTTATTGGATATGGTAGAAATGAAATAAGATGCATAACTTACCGTCCAAGTAGTATTTTTTAACAAATTGATTTATTTACAGCTCACAGAACAGTAGTTTTAGTCATCTATAAATAAATAAAAATAAAAATTTTGTACCATGAAACTGAAAAACATATATAAATTCAATTATACAGTATTATGGAAAAAACTATTTGTATGAACAATTTTGGTACTCTTCTGTTATCGGGGCCAGATTCAGAAATTTATGTATGTATACATGTGCGCTGTATGTATGAGTGTATATGTGTGTGCATACATTCACATACATCCGTACCTACATATACACATGCATACATAAACGTATCCATCCATCCATACATGCATATGTACACCACTTCTGAGTCCGGTACTGATAACAAAAGAGCACCCAATTCTTTTAAGAAGCGTATTTTAAAACCATAAAGCTAAATCATATTAAATAGGATCACGAGCATTATATATCGTTTCAAATATCCGAGAAAATACGATCGTACGTAAAAAGATTTTACCTGAAAATGTGCTTTTACCAAACTGTTGAAGTTCAAACAATTTTACAATATGAAATTATTTTGATTAAACATAATTTAGATTTGCTAAACATTATATATTAAATATATGGTGCATAGAGTATTCATAAGAGATGGATATGTCGGATTGTTTTCTGTTTTAATTATTAACCGTGGACCTGTATTTCATAACAAAAGCCGAAGAATTTTATGAAAAAATATTTGAGTAATGTAGTTGGAAGCTTTCTGTAAAATATTAAATTCAAGGTTTTCCCTATTTTTATGCAGAATGAAAGTCCTCCTTAATAAAGCATTCATTTTATTTTAAGGCATGAAAAACTCAATGTTTCATTTTACATGCAGAATTCGCGGAGAATTTAAAGAGAATAAATATTCTAACTTACGTAATGTTTCAATATTTCTCACTACTTAAAATTTAGGCATTTAGAATAAAGTTCAAGAGCTGGTTTAGAGTAAATTTTAGTGTTTTTTTTTTCAGGGGTTTGAGGAGCGATTAATGGTTAAAGCAGCAATTAATTATCACTTTTCAAATTTTTAAATGCGAAGAACTCATTTGCTTCTGAATTAGAATCCATGTCAGACTTCAAAATTAACAGAATTTTAGTCAAAATCTATACCAGTCGATAAGTGCTGTTTTGTCTTTTAAGGCATTTTTTTCATTTCTGTAGACATGCCTTCGTGGTGTAATTGGAAGTATACTTGATGCATATTCGAGAGGTCCAGTGTTTGAATCCCGGCTAGGGCAGTGCACATTTTTCATATCTCCTGCTTCAAAAAAAAACATCTAATGACATTATCGCCTAATTGTAGATCTTATTTAGGTATGTTTTCCACACCCTGAGGTTGCATGCACTGGCTTAGTACTTTACATGATAGTAGCTACCCTGAGACCACAATAACAAAACCCCGGTTCCCTACGGCCAGAAAAGGCGATGTCTTCCTTTTCCGGGATTCCTGTTTCCGCGGTTGTCAAAAACGTTCCTGTTTCCGCGAAATCATCAATTTTCATTAAACCTCTTCCCAAAAGGGTTACATAGTGGGCGCAGAGTGGGCCTCGGTTTTCTACCGAAATGTAGGAAGGCAACAAATTTTTAGATTTAAAAAGAAGAATTTTCAAAAGAAATAATTAAAAAATATTTACGATCTCAGATCTTTGCATGAATGAAGCTGATAAAAAAAGAAGAAAAACAGAGTTTCAAATTCCGTGATGATTTTGGCAATGAACTAAAAGATTGTTTCCTAAAGTAAAAAATAATATTTTCCCCAAATTATGCATAAAGGTGAGTTATAATAAAATCTTTCAGAATAAACATTCATTATAAACCTACTTTCTTTCTTCTAAAACGACGACTTCATGAAATAGCTGGAAAAGTGCAATCTTTGGTCTTGATTGCGCTTTTCAAGCTTTTAATTCTTTCAGTTATGCAAATCCGATGAACTACATTTTTTAAATTTTTATTCTAAATTCGATACTGGTAATCTTTATGTAGGGTTAAAGGTTTCTTTCCTTGGAGTTTCAATAATGTCAAAAACATCCATATTGATTAACATAAGCTGTGGAAATAACAGCTAATACTGTAGCAGAATTACAAATAGAATGAAGCTAAAGATTTCGAGATGAGCCTAAACTCAGACACGTCTTCAGTCTAACGAAGACTAACTTATTCACAAAGAAACTGCCCAGCTCTTCTTATGACCCATCTTGATATCTCTTGAGGAGCTGTGGGAGGGGGACTGTACTGTCTGATTTCGCGGGAACAGGAATAATTTTGAAAAATGCAGAAAGAGGAATCGTGAAAACGGACCTAAATCAGAAAAGGCAGGCTAGGCTGTCCCGGACGGTGGGTTGCTTAGGCCATCGGAGTGGGTAGTGTGACGGACAGATGCAGGTTCTTCAATTCCCCACCTTCATTTGCCTGGCAGTGGTGACCTTGGGCTACCGGTTCAGCAAGGAGTTGTAACAGTGAGTTCAAAAACTTTAAAACTCCGCCGCTGTGGAATGGGATCCCATTGCGAGCTGTTTTAGGAGTTGAAAAACTAATATTAAATTACGCTACAGAAATAAACTTGATTCTCGCATGAACACCATGTTGTTTAAGTTTTTTTTAATTCATAACACCTATCATACATAAACATATATGAGATTTAATTATAAACTCAGTATAATTAATCATGTAATCCGAGAAATAGGAGAAACAAGCAAACTAAACTAAGCACAAAATATATACGTTACATTCTAAAGATTTTAGCATAAACCTTTTTCGCAAGTCTTTCCGGTAAAAAGATATCAGACGATTGCAAAAGCACCAGCGCCAAAAACGACATGATTATTTTATTTTCAACATTTTATTAATTGCGAGCTCTTTAAGAGTAAGCAATGAGGACTTTCTTTCGGAGGCTTTTTAACAACCTCATACGAAGGTGTGGGGTCAGTCTGTGTAATGCCAAAATCAGAGATGGCCGAACACGTAAATTTCTTCGGATATTTATGTTTTTCCCGTGCTTACACAGACATAGGTATGTTTTCTCCAAGTAAATTGTTAGCAACTAGGTGAAGTTCCTACTCTACAACCTAGCAACGGGCATAAGAAAATAATTTATGTAGAGAAGTCAAATAATGCGCTTAGGAGGCATACATCAATATAAGTAAGTGACAAAAACGGTTACAATTTGAAAAAAGTGAATAAAAAAAACACTCAAAAGTTTATTCTCATTATAAAAGGTATAACCTAAACAAAGAAAGTGACGGGGTATATTGGAGTTTTCGGTTGCCTCTTCGAGCGCGCCCCAGCACATCCTTACTTCCAGGAGGCCAGTATTTATTGGTTTCTCGTTGAATGCGTCCCACCACCACCTCTTCTCTCTTTTTTACTCATGGAGATAAGGAAGTCTGTCTTACTTTTTACCTCCATGCTTTTACTATCTTCTTCACTCCCCTATAGCTGATACATTCTTGACCAATGACTAATGACACACTGTACCTATCGCGTTATATTACATATAAACTTTTTTGCATAGTGTGAAAAACTATTTTCCGAGGACTCACGACGTGTTGAAAGCAAATTTACAGAAATGGAAAAAGTATCACACACGAGTACGCGAGCGAAGTCTGCGTTTAACCAATAGAATTATTGAATAGAAAAAAAATCACGTGACACTCATAGAAGACTGCAAGTTCAAAGTGTTTCAGCCTCTGTTTCGTAGTCTGGTCAGAAGACTATCACATTCGGTTCGTTTTAAAGTGAAGTTTTGTTTGTAAGCAATTTAAGAACTCGGATAATACAATTAAATAGTTATTATAAGCACAAATAAGATTTTATGCGAATTAAGATTCATAAAATTGTTTAGAAATACAGTATATAAAGAGAATTAAATGGCTTGAAACACCATCCACCATACACGTAGGTTGTTTTTTTTTTCAACCTCCGATCGCACAGTATGATGGCCAGGTATGCGGCAGGTGGTTGGTGTGCGTAGTAGGCGACTGCGCATTTCCCTTTCCACACGCTCTGTCACTGGCGTATTCAACACGCCATTTTCCGTTGAGTTGCAGTCACGTAAATATGGCTGCCGCTATTGATCCCGCCAAGTGTGAATTGTGAGCTGTTATTCGTTTCTTGCAGGCCGAAGGGAACAGGCAGCGGAAATTCATCGAGAATGAGTCGAGTGTATGGAACCAGCTTTATGAGTGATGGCGTTGTCCGCGAATGGGTCGAAAGTTTAAAGATGTCCGAAATGAGTACAGATGAAGGGGATCAAGGACTCAAATCGTCGCTGCAGACGACATTGTTCAACGAGTGACCAAGCGGTTAAGCAAAATCTAAGGCCACCATAAGGAATTATCGGTGAAATTTCCGGATGTTTTAAGATTTCCCTGTACTCTATAGTATTGAACAGTGTACTCGCTGGGTCCACAGATGTGACTGACGACCACAAAATTCGCCGAATGCGCAGCGTTTGAGTTTCGTGACCGTTATTATACTGACGGAAGAAGTTTTTGAAATCCATTGTGACAGGTGATGAGACATGGGTTCAATATGACACACCCGAAACGAAACGACAGTCACAACTATGGATGCACACAAATTCTCCAGAGAGACCCACAAAATTCAAACGAACCTTTAACAAACGTAAGGTTATGGCAACTGTTTTTTGAGACCAAAAATGTGTGTTGCTTGATGAGTTTATACAGCCCGGAACAACAATTAATGCAGATTCATATTGTGAAACTTTGCAACGCTTACGGAGAGCTATTCAAAACAAACGAAGAGGCATGCTGACGTCTGGAATTGTTCTGATCCATGACAATGCCCATCCTCACAGAGCTCGTGTAACCCAACGGCTCCTTCAGCAATTTCAATGGGACATTTTCGAACATCCACCATATAGTCCCGACTAGCGCCGAGGACTTTTATCAGTTCCCCTGAAATGAAGCAGTGGTCGTGGCGGGAAGCGCTTCAAAATGAGGGATGAAAGAAACCGTCACATCTCACTTCCAATCATTGATGGGATATTGATGAAGAGGGTATTGCAAAGCTTGTTACAGATATGACAAAATG